ATGTTACCTGTAGGTTTGTCATATATGGCCTTTATTATGTTGAGGTATGTTCCCTCTATGCCCACTTTCTGGAGAGTTTTTATCATAAATGGCTGTTGAATTTTGTCAAAAGCTTTTTCTGCATCTATTGAGATGATCATATGGTTTTTGTTCTTCAAATTGTTAATGTACTGTATCACACTGATTGATTTGTGGATATTAAAAAACACTTGCACGCCTGAAATAAATCCCATTTGATCAAAATCCCATTTTGATCCTTATAAGGTATTGTTGGATTCAGATGGCTAGTATTTTGTTGAGGATTTTTGTGTATATGTTCATCAGTGATATTGACCTGTAGTTTTCTTTTTTTGTGATATCGTTTTCTGTTGTTGGTATCAGGGTGATGGTGGCCTCATAGAATGAGTTTGGGTGTTTTCCTTCCTCTGCAATTTTTTGGAATAGTTTCAGAAGGATAGATGTTAACCCCTCTCTAAATGTTTGATAGAATTTGCCTGTGAAGCCATTTGTTCCTGGCCTTTTGTTTGTTGTGATTCACAGTTTCAATTTCAGTGCTTGTGATTGGTCTATTCGTATTTTCTATTTCTTCCTGATTCAGTCTTGGGAGGTTGTACTTTCTACAAAATTGTCCTTTTCTTCTAGGTTGTCCATTTTATTGGCGTATAGTTGCTTGTAGTAGTGTCTTATGGTCCTTTGTATTTCTGTGGTGTCTGTTGTAACTTCTTTTTCATTTCTAATGTTACTGATTTCAGTCCTCTCCCATTTTTTCTTGATGAGTCTGGTTAAAGGTTTATCAGTTTTGTTTATCTTTTCAAAGAACCATCTTTTAGTTTCATAGATGTTTTCTTAGTCTGTATTTAATTTATTTCTGCTCTCATCTTTATGTTTTCTTTCTTCTACTAACTTTGGGATTTTTTAGTTCTTCTTTCTCTAGTTGATTTGGTATAGGTTTAGGTTGTTTATTTAAGATTTCCCTTGTTTCCTGAGGTAAGGTTGTATTGCTATAAACTTCCCTTTTAGAACTGCTTTTGCTGCACCCCATAGGATTTTGATCGTCATGTTTTCCTTGTCACTTGTCTCTAGGTATTTTTTAATTTTCTCTTTGATTTCTTCAGTGATCCATTGATTGTTTAGTGACATAATATTTCACCTCCACGTGTTTCTGTTTTTTTTCTTGTGGTTGATTTCTAATGTCATAGCCATGTGGTCAGAAAAGATATTTGATATGATTTCAATTTTCTTAAATTTATAGAGGCTTGCTTTGTGGTCCAGCATGTGTTCTATCTTAGAGAATGTTCCATGTGTACTTGAGAAGAATGTGTATTCTGCTGCTTTTGGATGGAATGTTTTATAAATATCAATTAAGGCCACCTAGTCTAATGTGTCATTTAAGGCCTTATTGTGTTTCCTTATTGATTTTCTGTCTGCGTGTTCTCTCCATTGATGTAAGTGAGGTGTTAAAGTCCCCCACTGTTATTCTGTTACTGTTGATTTTTTCTTTAATGCTGTTAGCATTTGCCTTCTATATTGAGATCCTCCTATGTTGGGTGAACATAAATTTGCAATTGTTTTGTCACCTTCTTGGATCCATCTCTTGATCATTATGTGGTGTCCTTCTTTGCCTCTTGTAACAGTCTTTATTTTTACATCTATTTTGTCTGATATGAGTATTGCTACTCCAGCTTTTTTTTTTTTAATTCCATTTGCATGGAATATCTTTTTCCATCCCCTCACTTTCAGTCTGTATGTGTCCCTAGATCTGAAGTGGGTCACTTTTACACAGCATATATACAGGTCTTGTTTTTGTATCCATTCAGCCAGTCTATGCCTTTCTTTGTAGTATTTAATCCATTTACATTTAAGGTAATTATCAATATGTATGTTCTTATTGGCATTTTGTTAATTGTTTTTGATTTCTTTAGGTAGGTCTTTTTTCTTCCCTTCCTATTTTATTCTCTTCTCTTGTGATTTGATGAGTATCTTTAGTGTTGTGTTTTATTATGTTTTTTCTTTTGTGTATGTATCTATTGCAGATTTTTATGTGAGGTTCCCATGTGGTTTTTATTTAGCTATATATATATATATATATTCATATATATATACACATATATATGTGTATATGTGTGTGTGTGTGTGTGTGTGTGTGTATATATATATATATATATATATATATATATGATTTTTTCAAGTTGCTGGTCTCTTCAAATGCATTTCCAACATCCTGGATTTGTGCTCTCCTCATGATTGCTGGTTTTAATATCATATTTGCATGTGGATGATTTACAACCTTTACTGTATGTTTGCCTTTACTGGTGAACTTTCCCATTCGTAATTTTGTTTGTTTCTTTCTTTCTAGTTGTTGCCTCTTCTTTTCTGCCTAGAGAAATTCCTTTAGCATTTGTTGTAAAGCTGGTTTGGTGGTGCTGAATTCTCTTAGCTTTTGCTTGTCAGTAAAGCTTTTCATTTCTCCTCAAGTCTGAACGAGCGCCTTGCTAAGTAGAGTATTCTTAGTTATAGTTTTTTTCCTTTCATCATTTAAATATATCATGTCATTCCCTTCTGACCTGCAGAGTTTCTGCTGAAAAATCAGCTGATAGCCTTATTGGGATTCCATTGTATGTTATTTGTTGCTTTTCCCTTGTTGCTTTTAGTATTTTCTCGTTGCTTTTAATTTTTGTTAGTTTGGTTAATATGTGTCTCTGCATATTCCTCCTTGGTTTTATCCTGTATGGGACTCTCTGTGCTTCCTGGACTTGAGTGAGTGTTTCCTTTTCCATGTTAAGGAAGTTTTCTCCTATTATCTGTTCAAATATTTTCCCAGGTCCTTTCCTCTCTCTCTTCTCCTTCTGAGACCCCTATAATGCAAATGTTGGTACATTTAATGTTGTCCCAGAGCTCTCTGTGACTGTCTTCATTCATTTTCATTCTTTTTTCTTTATTCTTTTCCATGGCAGTGATTTCCACCAATCTGCCTTCCAGCTCACTTGTCTGTTCTTATGCCTCATTTATTCTGAAAATTATTCCTTCTAGTATATTTTTCATTTCAGTTATTTTATTGTTCATCTCTGTTTTTTGTTCTTTGAATTATCTACCGCTTTGTTAAACATTTCTTTTATCTTCTTGGTCTGTGCCTTCATTCTTTTTCTGAGATCTTGGATCATCTTTATGATCATTACTCCAAATTCTTTTTCAGGTAGATTGCCTATCTACACTTCACCTACTTGTTCTTCTGGGGTTTTATCTTGTTCCTTCATCTGGAACATATTTCTCTGCCATCTCATTTTGTCTAACTTTCTGTTTGTGGTCTCTGTTCTGTAGGCTGCAGGATCGTACTTCCTCTTGCTCCTGGTGTTTGCCCCCTGGTCGTTAGGTTCTTCCAGGGACTTGTGCAGGCTTCCTGGTAGGAGAGACTGGTGCCTGCCCACTGGTGGGGGGAGCTGGGTGTTGTCCCTCTGGTGGGCAGGGCCATGTCAACAGGTGTGTTCAGAGGAGGCTGTGAGCTCAGGACAACTTTTGGCAGCCTGTCTGCTGATGGGTGGGGCTGTGTTCTCACCTTGTTGGTTGTTTGGCCTGAGGCGTCCCAGTACTGGAGTCTGCAGGCTGTTGAGTGGGGTTGGGTCTCAGTGCCAAAATGGCAGCCTCCTGGAGAGCTCACACTGATGAATATTCCCTGGCCCTCCACTACCAGTGTCCTTGCCCTCACCATGTGTCACAGCCCACCCGTGCCTCCCCAGGAGACCCTCTAAGACTTGCAGGTAGATCTGGCTCAGGCTCCTGTGGAGTCACTGCTTTGTCCTGGATGCCAGGGCACGTGAAACCTTGTGTGCACACTTCAAGAGTGGCGTGTCTGTTTCCCCCAGTCCTGTGGAACTCCTGCACTCAAGTCCCCTGGCCTTCAAAGCCCAATTCTCTGGTGGTTCCTCCTCCCGATGCCAGACCCTCAGACTGGGGAGCCTGACGTCTGGCTCAGAAGTCTCACTACTGTGGGAGAACTTCTGAGATATAATTGTTTTCCAGTTTGTGGGTTGCCCACCTGGTGGGTATGAGATTTGATTATATTGTGAAAATGCCCCTTCTCATTGTGGCTTCCTGTTTGTCTTTGGATGTAGAATATCTTCTTTGGTAGGTTACAGTCTTTTTTGTCAGTGGTTGTTCTGAAGATAGTTGTGATTTTGGTATTTTGTGAGAGAGCTCCATTCCTTCTACTTCAACATCCTGTCTCCTCCCTTCTGAATGTCTTGATATTAACATGAGAGTCACTAATATTCCTGAAATCACTGAAGAAATTTGATTGTTCGATGGCAATGCTGCTGTCAACGTCCTCTTTCTATCTGTCATTTATCCTGTAAATCTTCTGCCCAGATGGACTTTGCCTGGTAATGGAGAAGACAGAGTCCTCAAGGAAAATAGAATTAAAAGGTTATTGGATTATAGTTAGGTCAGATGTATACTCTCCTCTCTCCTAGTGACAAAATGACTGATTGATGATTGATCCTTGTGGATTGCAGCAAAGAAGATTCTAAGAAGCCTTCGGTTTACATTAATAAATTATTTCAGTTGACAGTAGAATACGGAAATAATTAAATGTGCAAATAGTGATTCCCTCTTCATGCAATTCTTTTTTTAAAAATCGTTTTATTTGTATATCCAGATTTTAACATTCATTTGATCTTTTATTGAAAAGGCTTTATTTTTTTCCCCTTATATTTTGAGGAAGCTAAAATTGTGACAACTATTTAATGAAATAAAGTAAATGGTTACCAAGTTTCTAAACATATCTATTTTCTTATAACACCTTTTTATATTACCGCTATGTTTGAATTTCAGTAATGATGTTACAGATTACTTATTTTGTCCAAAAAAAGATAAAAAGAGAAAATTACAACTTGGGGAAAAATGACAAAGACCAACATGTCTTCGTTTATAATGCTCTATTTTTATTTTTAGTGTCTCAATGTAAATAAGCAGGTGAGAGATGATTGATTTTTTTTCCTTTACAGCGGTTTACCTCTGCAAAAGAACAATGCAAAACAAAGCAAGGCTGGAACTAGCTGACTATGAAGCTGTAAGTACCAAGGACTTCCCGACAAAGAAAGGTATAAAATGAGCAAGAATAAGGCCTACGGTCATTTCTGGGCACTCTTAACTTTCTACATTCATGGATCTTAGGGATCAGATTTCCAGGGAAGGGCAGCATAATGATTTAACATATCCCTTACTTGCTTATTTCCTCTCATCATTCACAATGAGGATGGTGAAATTCTAAATACACAAACTCAGAGAAGAAGGAGGAAGCATATCTTATTTGCTAAAATTGACTTAAATGTAAAAACTTATATATATGTATATATATATACTATATATAATGAAGATATCCAAACTTAGAGAATTATAGAGCATTTACACTGGGAAAATGGTTTTTGCAAAACCTTTATGTTGGTCACCATCCGCAGATTAAATTAATCTCATGTAGTTTGTTCAGATGGTTGCTATGTTCTGATTTACTAAACTTGAAGCACTGTCTACAACTGGGTAGTAGGGGGCTGAAGGTTTAAATTTTTCTCAGGAACTGGATAGACTGGTTGAATCAGTAGTAGAGAGTATTGCTTTCCTGTTCCTCAGTAAAATGAGCACAGGAAAATCCAATGGATTAGTCTTGAGCACTTTTTTTATATAAGGTAAGTTTAGTATTTTTGATTTTTAGTTATATTCTCCAACATTAATATTCATAATAGGTTTTCCTGTGTCCTCTATGACTGTTAATATGAGTATTAGCTGCATTCAGTGAGCATGACTTATCATTCCAAGTACACTTACTCCTTTAAAAATTCTGATTTGTGTTTTTGGTAAGTACATATTCATGGGTACTTGGCTTATTTCCATATCTTAGCTATTTTAAATAATGCTGCAATAAGCACTGGGGGGCAAATTTCTTTTCGAATTACTGTTTTCGTGTTCTTTGGGTAAATACACAGAGGTAGAATAACTAGACCATATGGCAGTTCTATTCTGAATTTTTTGAGGAATCTCCATGATGGTTTCCATAGTGGCGGCACCAATTTACATTCCCACCAATAATGTATGAGGGTTCTATTTTCTCCACATGCTCTTCAACACTTGTTATTTTTTGCGTTCTCTATAATAAATATTCTAATGAGTGTGAGGTGATATCCTATTGTGGTTTTGATTTGCATTTCCCTAATAATGAGTGATGTTGAATATCCTTTCATGAACCTGTTGGCCATCTGTATGTCTTCTTCGGAAAAAATGTCTATTCAAATCCTCTGTCCATTTTTTAATCAAGTTGTTAGGTTTTTTTTTTGATGTTGAATTGTATGAACTCTGTATATTTTGAATATTAACTTCTTATTGGATATATAATTTGCAAATATCTCCCATTTGGTAGGTTGTCTTCTTGTTTGGTTGATGGTTTACTTTGCTGTACAGAAACTTTTTAATTTGATGTAGTTTCATTTTTTATTTTTGCTATTGTTTACTTTACCTGAGGGGACATATGTAGAAAGTTTCTAAGTCAAATGTTTTCTTCCAGGAGTTTTATACTTTCAGGTCTCACTTTCAAGTATTTCATCAATTTTCAGTTGATTTTTGTGTATAGTGTAAGAGAATAGTCTACTTTCATTCTCTTGCCTGTGGCTGTCCAGTTTTCCCAACACCATTACTAAAGAGGCTGGCCTTTCTCCATTGTATGTTCTTTGCTCCTTCATATATGAATTAACTGTTCATATATGTGTGGGTTTATTTCTGGGTTCTTGATTCTGTCTCATTGATTTGTGTGTCCATTTTTCTGCCAATACAATGCTGTTTTGATCACTATGGCTTTGCAGTATAATTTGAAATCAAGGTGTGTGATACTTGTAGCTTTACTCAGGATTGCTCTGGCTATTGGGAAGCTTTTGAAATTCCATGTAAATTTAAATAACTTTTTGGTTCTTTTTCTGTGAAAAATTGTCATTGAGATTTTGATAGCATTTACATTGAATCTGTAGATTGCTTTAGGTAATATGGACATTTTAACAATGCTAATTCTTCTAACCCATAAGCATGGAATATTTTTCCATTTCTTTGTGTCTTAAATTTCTTTCAGCAATGGTTTTATTGTTTTCAGTGTAGAGGTCTCCTTGATTAAATTTATTCCTAGGTATTTTGTTCTTTTTGCTGCTACTGTGAATAAGATTGTTTTCTTAATTTCTTTTTCTGCTTGTTAGTTGTTAGTGTATAGAAGTGCAGCAGACTTTGTATATTGATTTTGTACCCAGAAATACTTGTTTATTGTTTCTAATAGGTTTGTGGTAGAGTCTCTAGGGTTTTCCATATCTAAAATCATGTCATCCACAAATAGTGACAGTTTACTTCTTCCTTTCCAGTTTGGATGCTATCTATCTATCTGTCTATCTATCTATCATCAATTGATTTATTTATTTTTGTGCCTAAGTGCTCTGGCTAGGACTTATATTACTGTGTTGAATAAGAGTGGTAGGAGCGGGCATCCTTGTCTTTTTCCTGATCTTAGAGGGATAGTTTTCAGTTTTTCACCACTGAGTATAAAGTTAGCTGTGGGTTCATCATATATGGTCTTTATTATGTCTAGGAAAGTTCCTTCTATCCCCATTTTTTTGAGAGTTTTTATCATAAATGGTTGTCAAATGATTTTTCTACATCTATTGAGATGATCAATTTTTTTTTATCTTTCATTTTGTTAATGTGGTGTTTAACATTGATTGATTTGCAGATATTGATTCATTCTTTCATTGCTGGGATAAATCCCACTTGATCATGGTATGTGATCTTTTTAATTTACTGTTGTATTTCTTTGCTAATATATTGAGGACTTTTGCATCTGTGTTCATCAGACATATTGGCCTGTAATTTTCTTTCTTTGTGTTGTCCTTTGCCTGGGTTTGGTATCAGGGTAATATTGGCCTTGTAAAATATTATGAAGTATTCCTTCCTCTTCAGTTTTTTTGGAAGAATTTTAGAAGGATAAGCATTAAATCTTTGAATATTTGCTAGAATTCACCTGTGAAGCCATCTGGTCCTGGGCTTTTGTTTTTTGGGAGATCTTTGATTACTGATTCAATCTCCTTACTAGTGATCAGTTTACTCAGATTTTCTCTTTCCTCATGATTCAGTCTTGGAAGGTTGTATGAGGCTAAAATTTTCTATTTCTTCTAGGTTGTCTAATTTGTTGACATATAGCTGTCCATAGTATTGTGTTGGCCAAAAAGTTCATTTGGGTTTTTCCATAACATCTTACCTGAACGAACATTTTGGCTAATCTAATAGTTTCTTATAATCCTGTGTATTTCTTTGGTATCCGTTAATTCTCCTCTTTCATTTCTTTTTGTTTTTTTTTTTTTTTTTTTTTTGGCTGTATTGGGTCTTCATTGCTGTGTGTGGGCTTTCTCTAGTTGTGGCAAGTGGGAGCTACTCTTCATTGCAGTACGTGGGCTTCTTGTTGCAGAGCACGGGCTCCAGGTGCGCGGTCTTCAGTAGTTGTGGCACATGGGCTCAGTAGTCATGGTGTATGGCTCTAGAATGCAGGCTCAGCAGCTGTGGCATGCAGGCTTATTAGTAGATCCATGGTATCTTCCAGGACCAGGGATCGAACCCATGTCCCCTGTATTGGCAGGTGGATTCTTAACCACTGTGCACCAGGGAAGTCCCTCCTCTTTCATTTCTGATTTTATTCATCTGAACTTTCTCTCTCTCTCTCTCTCTTTTTTTAGTGAGTCTAACTAAAAGTTGGTCAGTTTATCTTTTCAAAGAACCAGCTTTGTTTCATTGATCTTTTTCTATTGTCTTTTTAGTCTCTTTTAAATTTATTTCTACTCTGATTCTTTTTTTATTTCCTTCATCCTACTGAGGCTTCATTTGGGCTTCATTTATTCTTCTTTTTAACAGCTTCTTTAGATATAAAATTAGATTGTTTGAGATCTTTCTTTTTTCTTGAGGTTGGCATGTATTGCTATACACTTCCCTCTTAGTATTGCTTTTGCTGCATCACATACATATTGGTATGTTGTATTTTCATTTTCATTTGTCTTCACATATTTTTTAAATTTCTTTTTTGATTTCTTCATTGACACAATAGTTATTCAGTAGTATGTTGTTTTGTCTCCACATATTTGTGACTTTCCCAGCTTTCTTCTTTTGGTTGATTTCTAGTTTCATACCACTGTGGTCAGAAAAGAGGCTTGATAGGATTTCAGTCTTCTTAAATTTATCGAGATTTGTTTTATGTCCCAACATATGGTCTATCCTTGAGAATATCCATGTGCATTTGAGAAGAATGTGTATTCTGCTACACTTGGATGGAATCCTCTGTATAAATCTATAAAAGTTCTTTTGATCTAACGTTCCATTTAAAGCTGCTGTTTCTTTGTTGACTTTCTGTCTGGATGACCTATCCACTGGTATAAGTGAGGTTTAAAAGTCCCCTAATATTATTGTGTTGCTGTCAGTTTCCCCCGTGAGGTCTGTTAATAAGTGCTTTATATATTTTGGTGTTCTTTTGATAGGTTCATATATATTAATAACTATTATGTCTTCTTGATGAATTGTCTCCTTTATTATTATATACCATTCAGTTTTGTCTCTTGTTACCTTTTCTGACTTGAAACCTATTTTGTCTGATATGAGTATGGCTACACCCACTTTCTTTTGGCTGCCATTTGCTTGTCTTATTATCCATCCTTCACTTTGAGCCTATATTTGCCTGTAGAGCTGAGATGAGTCTCCTGGAGGCAGCATATAGTTGAGTCTTATTCTTTAATCCATCCAGCCACTCTATTTTTTGATTGGTGAATTCAATCTGTTTACATTTTGGGTGATTATTGATATATGAGGACTTAGGACTGCTATTTTAGCTTTTGTTTTCTGGTTGCTCTATATCTCCATTATTTCTTTTTCCTTGTGTTTCTATCTGTCATTTTGGTTTGGTAGTTTTCTATGATATTTTTCTCAGTTTCCTCTTTTTTTATGTGTCATGTTTCTGCTCTGGATTTATGTTTTGTGGTTGTCATGATGTTTGTATAAAACATCTCATAAATAAAATAACCCTTTCTCTGCTGATAACATCTTATCTTCATTTGCCTATATGGGTTCCATTCTTTTCATCTTCCTCTTTTATGTTTTTGTTGTCTCAAATTATCCCTTTTTATGTTGCAAGTTCATTACCAAATTGAAGTAGTTATAGTTATTTTTACTGCTTTTTTTCCCTTTAACATTTATGCTTTAATTAAGCATAAATGTTATGCTTAATTAAGCATAAACTCTATTCCTGTATAGAGTTGCAATTTTCTGATTTTATTTTTCACCTTACTCAATGTTTTGTGTACTTTTACCTTTCATTTCAGGTAGACTGCAGCTGTTTTCAGCATTTCTTGTAAGCCAGGTCTAGTGGTAGTTAACTCCCTCAGCTTTTGTTTATCTGGGAAAGCTTTTAGTTTTGCTTCATATCTGAAGGGTAAATTTGCCAGATTTTTGGCTGACAGCTTTTAATCTTTCAATTTTTTTTTTTTTTTTTTTTTTTTTTTTGCTGTATGCGGTCCTCTCACTGTTGTGGCCTCTCCCGTTGCGGAGCACAGGCTCTGGACGTGCAGGCTCAGTGGCCATGGCTCATGGGCCCAGCTGCTCCGCGCCATGTGGAATCTTCCCAGACCAGGGCATGAACCCGTGTCCCCTGCATCGGCAGTCGGACTCTCAACCACTGCACCACCAGGGAAGCCCTAATCTTTCAATATTTTGAGTATGTTATTTCACTGTCTCCTGACCTGTAGAGTTTCTGCTGAGAAATCTGCTAATAACCTATTCAGGGTTCCTTTGTAGGTTACTGTCCTTTTTCCCTGGTTGCCTTTAAAATTCTTTTTTGTCATTGACTTGGCAATTTAGTATTGGAGAACGTCTTTTTGTGGTGAGGTAGTTAGGTATTCTCTTAGGTATTCTCTTAGCTTTATGGACTTGTATATCCAGTTCCTTTCCCACATTTGGGAAGTTCTCAGCTATTATTTCTTTAAATAAACTCCCCATTCCCTACTCCTCCCTTCTCCTTCTGGGGTACCCATTATCCTTATGTTGCCCTTCCTAATGGAATCGGATAGCTCTCAGAATTTCTTCATTTTTTTTTTTAGATCGTAGTTCTCTCTTCTTTTCTACCTGTATCTTTTGTAGATTTCTTTCTTAGAGCTTACTAATTCTCTCTTACATATGTTTTGTTCTGTTTCCAATGCTTTCTAATGCATTTTTATCTCATTTATTGATTTCTTCAGCTACAGAATTTCTGTTTGGTTCTTTTTTAGAGTTTCAATCTCTTTGGTAAAGTGTTGCTTCAGTTCATTCATTTTATTCATGAGCACATTGCCCTGCCTTTCTGAGTGTTCTTGTAGCTCACTGAGTTTCTTCATGACAGCTATTTTTTTTTTTGACCACACTGTGCAGCTTGTAGGATCTTAGTTCCTGACCAGGGACTGAACCTGGGCTCTCGGCAGTGAGAGCATGGAGCATGACAGCTAGTTGAATTCTCTATCAGTTACTTTAAGTTTGGTTTCTGGAGAATTGTCATTTTCTTTTTA